CAGCGCTAAGTCCTGACCTTAACACTAGAATCCCAGCCCCATAACCTACTAATTATAGGACCTTGGACTAGATACTTGAACTGCGTTGTGCCTCCATTTCTCCCTTTGCAGGGGAGGGGGAGATGTTCAGTACAGTGTGGGGCACCTTGCAAATGCCCGTTGGGTTTGAGCCTTGAGCTAATGTTACAAAAGAGCAAACTACTTGGAGATGTAACGAGTTTAATTTGGGGCATAACAATTTTGAAATCTAAGGTCCCCTTTGGGCATCAGGGTAGAGGGAGGAAGTGGGTATTTGAGACCTTTAGAAAGCCTTTGACCCACAGCCCCAGCTTCTTGCTCTTTACTCCTTGGCCCTACAGTGGCTGACAGGCCTCGTCAGGGTAAGTTTGTTACAGTGAAGGGCGCTTCCCTGATTTGTTGGCTTAATTTTAGCCAGGTATAGGATTGAGAATTCTTAGATTAGAACCTGAGAGACTAGGAATCGGGGTGAACTGTGAACTTCGAGCTATCTTTCTCTGCTTTGATTTTGTTTCTTTGCTTTAACTCTGAAATAGAACTGATGTCCCTATATGGAAATCTGATGAAAACGTGCATGGCACAGACACATATGCTACATTTGTTTCTAAATTCAGAGTCCAACATGAACTTCTGAAGTCTGTTCGTAGACAGACAACAAGATCCTTTCTTAGCCCCAACTCATTGGTGGCCGCTCTGATTAGAACGCTGATTTACCTGGAGATGAGTGTGCAGTTGATGACAAGATGGTTAGACTGAGGAGACAGGTCTGAACTTTAGGTGGCAGGAAGAAAAATAAATATTTAAGCTCTGGGAAAAGCAGGAGGCAGTGTGGTGAAGAGATAATTAAGGGTGGTTTTTAATCCTAGAGGAATCTCAGACATGAGAGTAATTTATGAGGTGTGATGTAGGTCATAAAGGCAGAACAAATGTTTACCTGAGGCCTATGTTGGTCATGGGGGTATAGCTCAGTGGTAGAGCATTTGACTGCAGATCAAGAGGTCCCTGGTTCAAATCCAGGTGCCCCCTGTGTTAAGTTTTTGTTTCAGTTGGCAAGTTCATGCTCGACTAGGGTACAGGAAACATTTGTCTAGAGCTCCAAACTGAACGAAACATTTCCTCTCGGCTCATTGATTCCCTGGCAGGGGAGCTCCAGGCCCATTGGCTCATAAACCACTCCCTTTTCTAACACCAGAACTCAAGTATAGTCACATATATTGAGACTACATACATACTTTGTGTACACATACATACACATACAAACACACACACAAATATACACAAATACACACAAATACACACACACAAATATACACAAATACACACAAATACACACACACAAACACACACATACATACACAGGCATACACACACACCTATACATAAACACACACACAGGCATACATACCCACACATACCTCTTATGTGTACCTCTAGTTTTTCTTTTCTGTAGGGGTTAATCTAATTAACCATACCCTTTGCAACTCCTTTAAGCTTAAAATAACTTTTAATCCTGCAAAAAAGAGTTGTGAAGATAGTATAGAGAAGCCCCTGCCTTTAACCTCCACCAACTTCCTGACTCTGCTTCCTGACTTTTGAAATCACAGGTATGTACCATATACGTATGTGTGACAGGGTCTTAATGTGTAGCTCCTGCCTGACCTGGAACTCAATACGAAGATCAGGTTGACCTCAGTCTCCCAGGTGCTAACATTAAAGACAAGAACCACCATGTCTGGTTTGCATGCTTTCAAAAATGTTAATGACTTATTTATTTATGTCATTCATTCATTCATTCATTCATTCATTCATTCATTCATTCATATGTGTGTGCATGCACGCAGTATGTGTAGTGTGCACATGGCATTGAACCCAAGAAGTGGGGATGAGATAGGAGTGTGGCTGAAAGGGAAGGTTAAGAGAGTTCAAGGGTGTATTTCCCAGCTGGGCATTGCAGGGAAGCCAGAGTGAGGGTGACTTGATCTCAAACTTGTTTGTCAAGAGGTAAGAATGACTGTACCCCAGGGCCATCTGTTCTAAGGACAGGGATACACCCCTCAGCCACTGCAGCTCTTTTCCATGGCCAATGAACTCAACTTGTGGGTCCTGACACACACACACACACACACACACACACACACACACACACACGGAGGTCAGAGGACGACTTTCAGGAGTCAGTTCTCTCCTTTTATGCCATGGCTCCCAGGGATTGACCTCAGGCTGCCAGGCTTGGCAGCAGGTGACTATCAGCTGAGCCACCTTGTAGGTACATATTTGACCTGTGAGAACCAAACTCAGACATCAAAACTGACACAACGTTAAAGAGTAATTTTCTTCTGCTTAATGTATATCATCAATTTCAATAAATATTCCAAAAAAAATAAAAAAATGTATCAATTTTCTATGTGTCTCTCTCTTTGTGTGTGTCTGTGTGTCTCTGTGTGTATGTATGTATTTATGTATGTGTGTCTCTGTGTGTATATATGTATGTGTGTGTCTCTGTGTGTATGTATGTATGTGTGTGTCTCTGTGTGTATGTATGTTTGTGTGTCTCTCTCTCTCTGTGTATGTATGTGTGTGTGTGTGTCTGTCTGTCTCTGTACCCTCTCTGTGTATGTGTGTCTGTGTCTCTCTGTGTATGTATGTGTGTGTCTCTGTCTCTGTTCTCCTCCCTTTTGTGTGTGTGTGTGTGTATGACAAGTGTGTATTTGCAAGTGTGGAGGCAGCTGATAACTTCAGGTGTCATCCTTAGGAAGGTCATCCATCTCCTTTGAGACAGAGCCTCTAATTGGTCCAGAGCACACCAATTAGGTTAGATTGGCTGGCAGGAAGCATCTGGGATCCTCTTGTTTGTCTACCCAGCACTGGGATTACAAGTACTTCAACACACTTGGCATCTTTATTTGGGTTCTGGGGAGTCAAACTCAGGTCATCATGGTTGCAGGAGAAGCACTTTTTTTTTTTTTGACAGAACCACCCTCCCTTGAAATATGTCAGTAATAAGTGTGTGTGCTGTTTGTCAAATGAAGAATCAAACACACATAAAGAGAGCACGTGGCCCACTTCAGTCTGAGCTAACTCTCCTATGGTAACAGTGTTACCAGCCCAGGCTGATTGAGCTGGGTCAGAGTGATCACTCGTGCCTGTGGAGGGAAGGATGGGAGACACACGGAGATTTCTCTTGATTTCTATTTGATGGTTTCTTGAAGGCTGCAATATCACAGGGGTCCCTAGAGAGAAAAATCAAAAGGCTCTTGATTATATTCTACTTTAGAAGAAAAGGAATTGCGCCCAAGCTTTCATTAAACAGGATGTAGGCTGGCCTCATCTCTCTTCGAACAGAAATGACAAGTCAGACTCATTATGTGGCACTTGATAGATTTTTGTTTCACTCTAGGGTAAATTGGGTTTTGAAAGGACTCTCCTTTTCTCATTGTAATGCAATTAGGGAGACTTCTGATGGTTTTGTTCCAGCTCTGGGCAATGGTTTCAGGCCAGTTAGCTAACTAACTGAGCTCTGGTTTCTTTTATATGTGTGTTAGGGGTAGCAATAGTTCCTTCTTTACTATGTTTGGTGTCAGAACTGAGTATGTCAATTGAGTGTACAGGGTATAATAATTACCCTACAAGTGACAGCAATTCTGCCTTTTATTCTCTCTCTCTCTCTCTCTCTCTCTCTCTCTCTCTCTCTCTCACTCTCTCTCTCTCTCTCTCTCTCTGTCTCTCTCTGTCTCTGTCTCTCTGTCTCTGAGTAAGTGATATTTTTGCTTCATACTTTGCTTGTTCTGTACAGATGCTTACCATCTATACAGAAGCAACAGACAACTCAGGTTGGTGCACTTGAGCAGTGGGGGAGTCCACTAAAGTACAGGTCAACGCTTAACTGCATTCTTCCCTCAGGGCTCTGGAAGTACAAGTTTCAGCTTATTCAGGTGGGCTAAAGGCAAAATGTGAGCTGGACTTTACACTCTCAGAAGCCTCTCTGGAGAATCTATCCATAGTGTCTGTTTCCATATTCTTTGGCTCACTGCCCTTTCTTCTGCCTTTAAAGTCAGCAGAAGAATGTCATCAGATCGCTTTGTCACAGCCCCTTCTCTGTCTCCACTGTGTGAGCAAGTGGAGAAGACCACATACCAGGCTGGAACGTGATGCAAGTGGGCGGGGAAAGCAGGGGGTCACTTGTTGAATAGGAAGACGGTTTCAACTGCTTGCCATAGTAAAACCAAGTATACCGAAAACACGCCCTTCCTTAGGCAGGTTAATAAAGGCTGCCAGCAGGATTATAAGGCATTTAGCCATCCTCGGAGCAGAAACTGAAAGCAAGCCTTGAGGCTGACCACGTGATTGGCTGCAACCGGCAAAGCCTGCCTTGAATCCCGGATGAGTTTTACTGGGTGGCACAGGCTTGTAAATCCAGCTATTCCAGAATCTGAGGCCGGGCGATGGCGAGTTAAGGCTTACAGAGTTCAAGGTCAGCCTGGGCAACTTAGTGAGATCCCCTTCTCAACATTAAAAAAAAAAAAAAGAAAAAAAGAAAGAAAGCCAGGATGAAGGTCAGTGCTGGAGTGCTTACCTACCAAGTGTGGGGCCCTAGATTCAATCCCAAGCACTACAAATACTAATACATGTGCAGTACAAAAATTACTACAAGTGAATGAGTGTAAATTACCGTAATAAAGTGGATTTTGCAAGAGAGCATTGACTATTTTGCTGTCATGTGGATTTCTCCTTTTTTTCGTAGTTTTGTAGACTAGGCTGGCCTGAATTGGCCTGTTACTCACTTCTGCTTTTCAAGTGGTTCCTTCAACACTCGTCTAAACAGCTCATATATTCCATCACTCAGCTAAAGAGCTCACACCCTTCTCAGGACTCAGCTAAAGATCATGTTCCCACACCGGGAGTCGAACCCGGGCCGCCTGGGTGAAAACCAGGAATCCTAACCGCTAGACCATGTGGGAACTGATACTAAGACCGTCTTCTTGAAGAAGTCGCTTGTGAAGCTGGGTCAGGACGCCTCAACTCTACCTCTCGGAGGAAACAGTGTAGAGGTACTTAGAGGTTTAAGAAAAAAGGGTGGTCTAGAGTGTGGGGGAAGGTGATTAAAGGCCGAGAAAGCGAAGTAGTTGTGGTCTGTGTTCATGCACAGCCAGATCTTACTGCTCTTCCTAGGGCGCATGCTCAGAGAACAGCAGCTTTAGCTGACTCTGAGCGTCGGCTCTGAGCGAAGTTCTGGCCTCTGATGTTAGAAGGTCTATGCAACCTAAGTTGTCTCTGAAAGCCAAAATAGGGCACCCATCACCACGGCGACCAATTTGCCAGAGTTGCTAACGAACAAAGCTCTTGGGAATGCTCTGTCTAGATAGAGGAGCCAGAAAACCGATGATACCAGCTGTTAAGCGAGCTCGCAGGTGAGCGAGCCGACTAGTGCAGGCTGGCTCTAGCTTTCACCAAGAGCTCACAGGAAACCGCAGAATCCGGTATGCATGCTAGACCTGAAAATGAACCTACCTCTCAACAACGATCTAAGTGCGTGCTCAGGGTGGACAAGCGCTAATACCGTACACCACCGTTGACATGAAGAAAAGTTAGTTTTAGCAGCCACGATACTTGCAGAAGTTCCTTTCTTTCTGCTAAACAATTATTAAGAAATCAGGTTGGTCTGGTACTTCTTCATTTGCTTAAGCAAATAATTGAAATCAAACAAAACGTCTTCGAAACCTCATCTCTAGGTCTAATGAAGTGCACCACAATGTATTTTGAATAGTTGTTTGTTGGATGCTTAACCACTCGCTAACTCAGTAGTTTAGTGGCTCTACGTGATGCGAGGTTTTATGTGATAAATTATGGGACAGAGCGTTATTAAATTGTCACACGCTCTTGTATCAGATGCTGTCGTTAGGCATATTTTGGGCACTGCAATGATCACACTGCAAAGGAGAAGGAATTTCTGATAGCTGTACTTAGATGCTTACTCCGAGAAGCGTGTCCCCACTTCCCCTCCCCCAGCGTCTGTGGCTCTGGTTTCTAAAGCTCAGATTAAATAGGCTACGGCCGAATCAAGGGATGGATTCATAGGGGAGAAGATGGATACTAATGTCTGTCACAGTCTGTCCAATTACCTGGAGCCGGCTAAAAATTCGTCTCTGGGCCCCATTTAGAAAATCAGAGTCTCTTGGGGAGATGCTTAGGAATTTTAGTTTTCAACAAGCTTCTCAGTCAGTCATATAAACTAATCTTTGTGAATTAACCTCTGTTTGCCGTCAGCCTTAACTTTTGTTCTTGTATGAAGGAGAGAGCACATGCATTCACACATACATGAATCTTGCATCTGTAGAAGTGTCTGATACAGAAATCTGGCGACTATTGTAGAGGGGACGCTTTTAAGCAGAACTGTCTTAGTATCTAATGGTGCGGACGAAGCTGATTGGAGTACCAAAGATGAAATAGGTAAGTGTTAAGAAAATGTAGGTAAATTTGAAAATATTCATCTCTCATGTGATATTAAGTATTTTTTGTTTGTTTATTTGGTTGGTTTTTGCCATTAGCACTCCCCAACCCCCCATCTACGGGGTGCAACTAGATTTGACGCAGTGTCATGAAATTGCCAGAAGGGAGCAGCAGAGAGCTACCAAATGGCTCCGAGAGGCCTTGTGCGCCAAGGTTATCAACCAGGCAGATGTTAACTTTGCAGCAAAGAGCCAGCTACCCGGGAAGTGTTTGCAAGGAACACTTCTACATAAGCATCTCTAAGCTAGGAGAGCTGAGGTAGAGAGCAAGCAGCAGTCTCACAGGAGAAAAGACAATGCCCTGCTAGTGGGGGATTGGGGATGCTAGCTGGCAAATTACCGGGGGCTAGCAGTCAGGGGTGAGTGCTAAGACTGGGCTTATCAGGAAGCTCTGGGAATTCCAGCCTCTTCCCAGGTAGCTTTCAAGAGTCAGTCTTCCAGTGGTCCATTGCTGTGGTAAGAGCAGGAAACAGTGGGCTTCCATCAATGAACCATATAATTTAAAAAAGAATGATATTATCATTATGGGGAAGCCTAGAACCCAATCCCTTATTGAGAAACCCTATGATAGCGAGATCTTCCAGCTCTTTTTGGAAAATACCTTTGCATTTAAAACAAATGAACTTAAGGAATACAAGACAGTATGTGATTAAATACTGCAATTACAGTGCAATCGATACTTGCTCTAGAAGTTTCTGTGAAACGGGAGATCAATGGAGGCTTGAGTGGAGGCTTGACTGGCCAAGGGAGACTTCTTTAAGGAAGGGAAATTTGATCTGAGCCTTAATGGATGCAGATGATTCAGAAAGGCCCGGAGGACTGCGAAGTGAGCCCAGTGGGTTCTCTCTCTCTCTCTCTCTCTCTCTCTCTCTCTCTCTCTCTCTCTCTCTCTCTCCCTCTCTCTGTGTGTGTGTGTGTGTTGAAGGCTACTGTACCTGTTGGTAATGTGTTGGGGGGGTGGGGGGGGATAAAACCCACCTTTTGGCCATTAGTGAGCTTTGTTTTTCCTGGATGTTTTCCCATATGTTCTGAGGAAGAACACAGTTCACTTGCTTTAAGAATGGAGTGTGTCATTAACTTTGAAGAGGTAAATATGGATGCCACATACACAAGACACAGTGGCTCACAGTGAGACAGTTTGCAGGGCACAGTTGCCCAATTTTTTCCTATGACCAGCTGGGGCACTATAATCTTGACTCCGAATATGGTATGGTTTGCTTAGTTTCTGTCTGGATAAATACGAATATACCTAGATCTTTATGACGACGCTAAAAGAACTCTGCAATGAGAACGAGGTCCAGTTAGCCAGGCCCTCAGACAGCAAAAGACAGGAGCTTGTCTTCTAACCCCTCACCAGCTGCTAATCAGCTTCATGAGCAGCGGGGGGCAGTTATAACTCAATGTGACTTTCTTTGTCTACCCTGTCTCTCTGGGCATGGTTGCTTTTTTGCTTTTTATACTTAATCACCTATAGGCCTTCCCCTCTCCATCCCTGCTCTCTTGTGTTTACTTACATAATGGTCTAAAATATCATGCCTTTTTCAAGTGAGCTTTGTAAAAGGCTTAACTATGTTCCCAGGACATTTGCAGAACATTGGCTCGTATTTGGGTTAGAGACACAACAGAGTGTGTCTGCCCAATGTAAGATGGTCCTATGTTAATTTTTTCTTGTTTTGTGTATATGCATATGTACATGTATGTGTGTGCACACGTGAACCCACTTGTGTATACAGGTGCACATGACAAGTGTGCCTGCATGTGGAGGTCAGAGAATAGATGGCCTTGGGAGTCATTCCTTGGGAACTGTTCACCTCCTGTTTTGGAAACAGAGCCTGATGCTCTTTGATTATGCTGAGCTGGCTGGCCAAGGAGCCACAAGGATCTGCCCATCTCTGCCAACTCCGCACTTTTATTACAAAGGCAGCCACCATTTTTTTTTTTCATAATGTGAGTTCTGGAGATGGAACTCAGGTACTAGTGTTTACAAGCACTTTGCTGACTGAACCATCTCCTATTTCTCCTCTTCCTCCCCTCCTCTCCTCCTTTCTCTTCCTTTTCTTCTCTCTTCCTCCCCTTCCTTCCTCCTTCCCCTAGCCTCTTCTTCCTCCCCTCTTTCTTCCTCTTACTATCTAAGCAACTTGAGAACAAAATGCTTCCCGACTGGACTGGTCATGGTAGATCTCTGCGGTGAGGCTTTTCATGGGAATGAGGTTGAAGGTGGAGTTTGAAAGCACACATGCACACATGCATCACCATGGGATGGAGTATGGGAATACGGAAAACATCAGAGACATCACAGAAATCCTGAGAAATCCTCCCCATTCTCTGTGGTGCTTTTACTTTATAGCTGTAATGTCAGAATTTTTCTCTTTCCCTTCCTCACCCTCTCTGTAGGTGTTTTATGGCCACACCATTTCTCTCTCTGCTGTTGGATCAGGAGGGATGCTATAAATCTTATCTGTGAATCCTTTCGGCAGGTCAAATCTCTTCCCATTTGAGACACAAGAGCAAGCATGTTACTCATTGGGCAGTACCAGCATTGTACCAGGGAGGTTCTCAGATAACACCTCTACATTTCTTCCTGACAGTGTGAGCTTGCAGAGAGCTCAGAGGGAGCATTATTTAATTACCCAGAGTCTCCTAGTGGGCTATGCATTCTTGTAAGAAGGTATTTATTTCCCTTAGACATCTGTCAGTGTGTCAGGACACACATCCACAAAAATATTGGAGGAAGAGCAAAGAGAAATTACAGTTAATTATCCGAAGCTCCACAAAACAAGGGGAAGTTTAGATGTGAAGAAATGAATTCCTTTCCAGTGCTTATTGTCCTCAGACGTGAGTAGTTATGAGTAGTTATAAATCTGCAGTTGGTCAGCTTTACTGAACCCAGGACAGCAAGTTCAATCCTCTTTATAGGACTATGCACCTTTTCTTCTGAGTACAACACGACCTTGATTCTTGTCTTCAGCCTATGCATGTCTTCAAAGTAGTAGTGGCTTTAGAGGCTGTGTGGCCTTGCCCACTGTATTGGGAGTGTGATTCTTGGGCCATGAATGGTTTTCTAGAACCATCCTGGATTTTGGGGCAGAGGGGCTGTGCTGGGATGCTGTGTGGGTTAGAGATATCCAAGGTCAACTAGTTCCATCTGAGGAGTGTTCAGCTGGTTGTTGATTACTGTTGACATCTTCTCCATTTGTGCCTACTAGTCTGGTCTCTCTGGCTATGTTAGGTTTCCCTGTTAACTTAGTTCCCAGGTTCCCAGGGTGCTATTGGTGCCTCTGGCATCTACCGAGAGCACCCCGCTGTAGTTGCCTCTGTGAGACTCCCCTGACTGACTTTCAGGAGACTTGGGAAGCTGTTGAAACCATCCTCAGGAGGCAGCTTTGAAGAGTTTGCAGAAGCCCATCTCATCATCCAGTTTGATTTGGGGCTAAGGGCTCACCCCAGAACAGCTACAAACCAAGATGCATGCATTCCAGTACTGACAATCCCACCTGGACAAAGTCTTTTCTCCTTAGGACATTTCCTCCACCCCTTCTTAACACACTGATGATGTCTGGTCTGAAATCTAAAGAAGAGACCTTGAAGTACATCTTACTGCCTTCTGGCTGGCTCTCTGTTCATCCCACTATAGTCCACCATTGAGATGGGAGAGGCTTGGCTTTTCCACTTCCCCAGCACTAAATTTTTTTTTCTACTTGAGTGAAGAGAGCCTTACGGTGAGCCACCAAATACCCAAAGATAATCTGCCATGGTATCTCACTGAACATATGGTCTCTGGATACACAGGGGCATCATCTGGGAATTCATAAGAGATGCAGTTTCAGGCTCTATAGCATTCTCATGGATCTCAGGTAACCTCCATGCACATAAAGTTGGAGGGACATGTATGATTAGCTGACTTAGCTTTACTAAGTTGAAGAGTTAAAGAGATTTAAGAAATCCCCTTTCTCCTGAAAAAGCTTGCTTCTATAAGCCATTAAGTTGCTACAAAATCCCATTTTGGAGCCATGAAGCTGAGTATTAACTGTTTTTCTTTTTATATTCTTGGTACAGCCACCAGTCATTTGCTCAAGGGAAATAAATGTTTCAGATCGATCATGGTAAGTCCAATGCAAGGAAATAAGGGAAAGATGCTTAATCATGTTAAAGTATCTTGTTTTGCATTTGGGAAATAAAAAGAAGAAACAACAAAAGAAGAGACGAGGACAACCCTAAAGTGCTTCACTATATAACTTGTCATATTTGAATTTTTTTGTTTACCTTTACCATGGCATTGAGCAGCTTGTAAGTAGGAAGCATAGTTTGTTGTTTTTAACAAAATCTTAAACATTTGATTTTACCAATAAAGCCTTAGGAGCCAGAAGCTAGGGTGAAAGACTGCTAGCTCAGAGAGGTAGAGAAAGCACCCAGCTGACCTTCCTCCTCAGCTGACATCCCAGAAGGAAAAGCCAGCTTTCCTCAAAATCCTTTCAAACTGAATCCCTCCCTTTTACTTCCCGTGTATCTTCCTACCCATCTTCCTGACTTCCTCTCATTCTCTATGTTTTTTTTTTTTTCCCTGTGTTCATTCCCTGTCAACTGGTTGCTCGCTCTGCCTCTTGACCCATGGTTGGCTTTATTTAATCTTGTTTACAATAAACAGAAAGCTCTCGGATTAAAGGTGCATGCTAGGACTGAGCCACACCACAACTAGAAATAGTTCCCCCCCCCCCCCAGTAAATAACGCAGTCTCGAGGTTCACAGTGTGATCAAATATTCTGTAACAATAGTTCATTGATTTGTGTTGCTATGTCCTTTACTTCTTAAAGTGTGTTTAAAGATGCTCTAAAGTGGGACCATTTCACTGAAAAATTAATTTCGAACATGCTATGAACCATATAACCCTCTTGCATATACACCATAGATATTGTCATAAAGGGGTTTCAAAATCCTACTAAGAAGTCCCTCTAGCTTCTCCAACACCATCTCATGTGCTATGCTCTAGCACACCATAGGACATACATTGTCTGCACATATTTTAGAATGTTGTAACCTAGAATCAATCCCTTGGACATAATCATCAAGTCTATCTGTGGTGTCTTTAGGCTCCGCCTGGTGGATCTTCTCTGATATAAATCGACTAGTGTTCTTTTCATGGATCGGCTGATGTGTCTTAGCTGTTTCCAGCAACTGTTTTCTGCCAACCTGAACAGCCAATTCAGAGGACACTACAGATTCACTTTCCTCTCGTGTTACTGCTTAGATTTCCTTCATAGTGAGTTCCACTGGATGAGAAAGAAACTGTCACCTCTCACTCACAGCCTAGCCTGGGCTTTCAGGCTAGATCTCTGAAATTCTGACCTACCGGTATGAGAGTTGGATAACTACCAGTGTAAATCCACTCACTAGATTGGCAGTGGTCTCCCAGTGAGGCTGTGAGAGGCAAAGGCATGGTCCTGCAAATGAGAAGAACATGTAGTCTGTAGAGACTTGCCATATCATTTCTTAGTGTAGTCTTGCAAATGTTTTCTAAGTCTGTGTGATATATAGATGAGGCACATGAATGTTTAGACAGGTTGGGGTCTGGAAGACTCTCTATATTGTGTTTTTTCCCCCCTGCTTGTGTGACTACACAGAAAATGAGCTTCATTTTGTGGCAATGTGTCTAGCTTAGAAGAGCCTGATGCACGTTCCATGGAAGAGATTGTTAGTCTTGCCTGTGTTCAAAGGAGTTAGGAGCTTCTGAGGATTGTAGTGAGAACATTGATGGGGCCAAGGCAGAATAAGGTCAGAAGGCCAATGGATTGTCAGAGGCAGTAAGTTACATCCCCATGGTCATGCCATCACCTTGGCATAGGTGAGTGTTTGTCCAGTTCTGGACTTGGCTTGTCCATAATCTGACCAATGAGATGTTAGGAAGTCAGCTGGGAGCTGAAGCTTGAACATGGTCAAGATCTTCCCTTGAGCAGGTATCTGTACTTCTTTATTCTCGACTCTGGTTGTGGGCAGGAACTCAATGACAGTTTAAAGTCAAACCCAGGTAACCTTCATCTTAAGTCAAGGTACTCAGAAGCCCATCTCAGATTAGTTAAATTATAGTTGTAACAGGGCCCCAGACCTTAGTAGGTCCTAAGACCTTATCGCAACTGACTCCATGATGGAAGTGCCATTCAGGCTGTAAAATTCAGCACACAGACAGCACCACTTGCCCAAACTAAAACAAACACCTAATCCATCAAAGTCCATAGTTCTGGGAAAGTCTCTAAATGTTCTAACCTTGCTTTTTGGCTTCTGTAGTTCTGCTTCTGGCTAACTGTTCTTGTTAACTGAAGTGTGTCAACCCAGAACATGGTTTTTTGCTAAAAGCTCACCTCAAGAAAGGCTCAAAGCCACACTGGGCTCCTAAACACACAGTGTAGTAAGTGTCCAGCTAATAAAAACTTTCTATTGGCTTAAACTCATGTCTGAGTTGTCTTCTCTGGTGGATACCCCACAACGCAGTCAACTTTCAGATCTGTGATCATGAGGGCAAGTTATCTCTGTAAGCTAGTTGAGAGCATGGCTGTTAGGCAACACCACTGGGTCAACAGCTGCCTGACACACCAGGTTAAAGGTAATCATGTTTCTCCAGTGTATTATTTCCAGAGTCCTTAATCTGCTTAGCACATGGCAATTCTTGAAGCTGATCTTAGTGAACAGCATTTCCCACAGTACCTTAATTTTTTCAGAGCACCATATGATACCAAGGCAGGCAGATATATAACTCATTCCTGGCAGTGGGTCTCACTACAGAGATAGTAATTAAACCTCTCCCCCCCAATGTAGTGAAAATAGAGAAGTTCATCTAAGAAGGGTTACTCATATGATGGGCTACAGACTGAGATGGCTACTGGGTCAGAATGTTAGGAAGATAAATTGGGTATGAGAAGGTGTACATAACTATTAAACTATCTTCAGCAATTATTTCTTCTTTGGGGAATAGCTATAAGGGGTAGTATTGAAGAAGAGGGAGTCAAAGTCTGTCTGAGGTGGTGGAAACATATGCTGTGGGGACTATAACAATGGGAGCAGGAGGCACTAGAGAGACGGCTCAACAGTTAAGACTGTGTTCTACTCTTGTGGCAGCCACAGTTACATGTGTATTTCTCTCACAGTACCCGAGTTGGGTGGCTTATAACCTCCTGTAATTGCAGCTTCAGGATAACTGATGTCCTCTTCTGGCCTCTGTAGGCACCTGCACTCATATGTGCACATGCACATGCACATAACTTAAAAACACGAAGTCTTTACAAACAAACAAAAGGGAGAGAGTATGAGCAGATACTCATCCAATCATCCAACAGTCATGGTACCTGATACTTGTCAGTCTGAACTTCCTTTCTGGGTCTGTGCAGTGTGTCGGCTCTTATGAGAGAGAAGTCCCTCCCTGTGAAAGCCCAGGGCAGTGAGGGTGCTCCTGCTTTCCACCTCAGTGCATCTGTTCTTGGATTTTCCCATCACTGGATTGTCTAGCAGCCCAAGTAATGACTCGGAGACCTTTTATTAATTATGAGAGCTTGGCCTTAGTTTAGACTTGTTCCCATCTACCTTTTGAATTTAAATTGGCCCATCCCTACTAATCTATGTACTGCCATGTGGCTCATTACCCGCTGAGTACCAGCATTGCTTTCTCTGTGTCTGACTGGCAAATACCCTGCCTCTGACTCCCAGATTTACTAATTCTGCCAGAAGTCCCACCTAACCTTTCCTGTTTAGCTATAGACAACCAGCTCTTTAATCAGAAGGTGATGGAGAAGATGTTTACAAAACACTAAGACAGGTGATGCTTCATATAAGAGATTGTCCCAACACTTTCCTTGCCAATGGGGAGATGAAGCCTAGACACTAAGGCAAGGTCACTAAAGAAGGCATTGGATTCTGGCCTTTGGGACAGAGGTTTGGAAAATCTTTGTTATTTGTCTAAGACCAGGTGATAGTCTGCATGACAACCACTTATCATTGTCACTATAGTGTGAAGGCAGCCAGGGACAAACTTAAACTAGGGAGACTATGTTTACACCAATTTGAGTTATTGAGCCAGGTGTGTGCTCGGTCCCTTGGGCTATAGTTTGCTGCTCTCTGGCTAATGGTTTCTTTATTTCATTAAGTGTGTGTGTTTGTGTGTGTGTGTCTGTGTGTGTGTGTATGTATATATGTAAACGTGGTCAGACATGTGGCACATGTCATAGTACACATAGTACAGCTGTTGGGAATAGATTCTCTCCTTTCACTATGAGATTCAGGCATCTGAGTGAGGTCATCAGGCTTGAATAGCAAGTGCCTTTATCCAGTGAGCCATCTTGCCAGCCCATAGCTTTTTATATTGACATACAGGGATGCTTTAAGCCACTGAAAATGTACTTTAAAAATATTGTATGTTTCTGAGCTATTCCCTCTACAAAGCTACTACTCACCAACCTACAAGGTACTACATTTTCATAGTCCTCATTTATGTCCTATCTCTTCATCTTTGTCTTTCTTTACGGGCAGGACAGAAAGAAACCAATGCTACTGTTGGTAAATTGGACTCATAATAAATTTGCCCTCTATTTTTCAGTGTCCTATGTTTTTTTTCAATTTCTATAAAAGACAGTATGTTGAAGAAAATGAGTAAGTAAAATGAATTGCAGCAAATTAAATGTTATAACTTGTTTACTTGCAAAAAAAGTACATTAAATTTTCAAGGTCAAGGTTGGAGAGACAGCTTAGATGGTAAAGTGCTTTCTATTGCAGGCATGATGATTTGAGTGTGGTTCCCAGATCCCATAGAAAGTAAAAAAAACATCTGGGAACAGCAAGGCACATTTCTGAGCTCAGTGCTGGGCGGGGGCCGGGGCCCCCCCGGCGCCCCCGCCCCCCCGCCGCGCGGGCCCCGGGCCAGGGGCAGGGGCAGAAATAGGAAGGTGCCTGAGGCTCACTGGTGAGCTAGCCTAGCCTACTTGTTGAGCTCCAGGCCAATGAGACCTTGCTTCAAAAACAAGGTAGATAGTAACTGAGAAACAACAGCTGGGGTTGGCTTCTGGCTTCTACCCTGCTCCTCCTATCCCCCACCCTAGGTCCGGCTTGCACATGAATGTGCACACAGCTATGCACACATACCTGCCCAAATTTGTACAGTCACTGAAGCTGAGACCTAAGCCATCACTGTGTTGTTTGTGTGTTGGAGAGGCTGTCCACCCATCTTCTGCTAGGACAGCAGGGACAAGCATGGATGTAACTCATCCTTAATGAAACCCACGGCACCTGCACGGGAGCCTTCTGGGTCTCTGTTCATTTGAACATTTACTGGCCTTACCTTCAAATATGGCTCAGGTTCTTTTCATTTTGTGACTCACCTGAGTTTTGTGTCAGTAGCCCTTCTTATGGACTAACTACAGGTGATGCATTGGCATAAGTTGGAAGGGTGGCACATGGCATCTGGCCTGCTGGTCACAATCCATTTTTGCTGTCAGTTTTGCTAGACTGCCCATCACCTAACTCTGAAACTCTCGTAAATGAGTAGCCAGAATGACAGCAGAAACTTGACTGCCACCACCATCCAGCACAGGCTGTATCCTCAGACTTTAAAGAAAAAAAAAAATCCTTGGAACCTCTGTCCCTTAGCGGAACAGTGAATGAAGCTTCTCCTTCTCCAGAACCCAGAGAAGTGTGAGGAATGCAAACAAAAAACCCAGATTGTGTCCACCTTTGAATCTTCTCATTTTGGTATCTAGAGGGGGTGGTGGTGGGGAGGTTATCTGCTGGTACTCTTCAGGTCTACGAGGAAAAAATATCACAAGCCACAGTTTCAATTTGGAAAAAAAAAACAACCCATCTTTCTAAATCAGAATCTGGGGTTTGTTTTCCTTCTTGGGAGGCGAAAGAATGAGATGGAGTCTAATGACTATGTTACGAGCAACTCAGACACAAACACATGGTAGATTATCATGACTGCTTCTTGATTATGGTTTCTTGAGGGTAACTCATATGAGCCTATTAGCAGGGAAACATCTTTAAAAGCAATTTACATATTATATCTCTATTTCTCTATCAATCATCTATCTATCTATCTATCTATCTATCTATCTATCTATCTATCTATCATCTATCAATCATCTATCTATCTATCATCTATTTATCTAATTCTCTATTTTCTTTCTATCTGTCTGTCTGTCTGTCTGTCTGTCTACTCATATACTTACATCTATAACACACATGAAATACACTTACAAGGCCAGATTTTATTTGCCTGCTTTTATTTGGGCGTTTCTGTCTGTTGTTACCAATGGTTGGGATTTAACGGATTACTCTTGTTCTCGAGCTCCAGTGTGGAAGGTTGTATAAGCCACTCAAGTCATTGTACACACTCTGGCCACTGAGGTGAGTTTTAGAAAACTAGGCTTAAACCAGTGAAGCAACTTTAGGCTGTCAGGGGGTGCAAAGTAGAAGCAGGAGTTCTTTCCTCTGGCTTGGCACTGGAGGCAGTGTAGATGTTTGCACCATTGTAGCAATGTTACTCGCATGTGGGTGTCTAGACTGAGGTTGATACCTAAATGGCAGAGTGAAGAAACAGAGAGAAGGCAAGGCCTCCTGAAAGGAACATACCTAAAGCCTGACTTACAAATATAAACTCCCAGTAAGGAGTTTCAGTTACACAGGATGGTAGATTCCTTTTGGGTTCTGTTTTTCTTCCATGATTCTTGCTTCCTTCCCTCTCTGCCTCCCTTCTCACTCCCCCCTCCCTCTTTTTTCCCTCCTTTTATTTTTTTGATACAAGGTCTCATGTAGCTCAGGCCACCATCCAACTTTCTATATAGTTGATGACTTTTGAACTCCTAATTCTGCCTCCGTGTTCCATGTGTTAGGATTACAAGTGTG